GTTTTTCTTCTTTTTCCTGAATATATTGGTAGTAATTTGGGGTCAAATTTTGTTGCGTGAAAATTTTAGTCCGTAAAATATGCCACATAATTTGCGTATTCCAGTGTGTAGATGGAATAAAGTAAAATTCTACATGAGAATGATGCTTATTGAAAACTGCCTATATAGATAACCTTCTGCATAACCAGCATTTTTAAAGTTTATCTGGGATAAATGAATTTAAAACCTTCAACTATGGTTGCCAACACTTTTGGCAAATAGATAAAAGAAAATGCTAGAATAGCCATTTTTCTATGAAGAGAGCACATAGGAGCAAGTTACCCTGTAACAACCAAAGCATTAGGCAACGTGAAAGCTCTTCAAAAGTGAATGGTTTTGACAGTTGAGGTCAAACTATTTTTGGTTTTCCTCAAGGAGAGTTTAGAAACATACACACCCAGTTGAAGAAACATCTAAATATAGAGGCAAATGAACTGACAATGATTTAGCGTATGACATTTATTGGCTCTGAAATTGAAAGACTTTCAGGGTCATGAGCTTCTGTGATGAAGCTTTTGAAACTTTTTAAGATGAGGGACCTAGCTTTGCAAGGACAAATGGTGAGGCATTGATGCAAGCAACCTTGTGCAAATTAGTTGACTCCTTTTGAAAATCTGCACGTATACTAGCATTCTTCTTGTCTCTGAGGCATTTTCTACGTAAGTTAAAGAAGCTATGAATAACTTTTTAAATGCTTAAAATGCAATAATTTAAAATTGTCTGAAAAAGTACTGGGTATGGAAGAAAGACTTTGCCAAAGGAAACCGGCATCCCAAATTGTGTGTACAACAGGACAAATCTGAAGAAACAGAATCCATGAAAAATGAATCATGCAGAAATTGCAAGCCTGATTAAAGACAAAAATTACTTGAATTTAGAATTTACCTATTTAAACTTGATTGGGTGCTTCAGATGTTAAATTTACATCGTTCTAAGAGCAGATTTTGATCATGGTGTTGCTTTGACAGTTTGCTTAAGTGATACTATTAAGCAAATAAAAGAATATAGATGCTTTGAACAACACAGAACCTATTTTGGTCTCCAGAACCTTATTTTGGTTCCCTATACAAAGAAGTAATTGAATGGATAGCATTCATAACTTCCTGCTGTTTTTAGCTGCTGTTAAAATTGGCTGCTTGTAAACCGTTGATATTTGTGAGATTGCTCATTTCCACCCTTGTCTCAACTGTTGAATCCCTCATCCATGCCTTACTTAACTCCCCACTTGACTATTCAAATTCTCTCCTAACTGGGCTGTTCATGTTCACTGTTAGCCTTACACTGCCTCAGGTTTAAAATTCTTTAAGCTGTCTCCATGCCCTTTCCCTTATATCTGTAACTTCATCCAATACTATAATCCTTTTGAAATCCCTCCCTTCCTCCAATTCTGCCATCTTCCATGTGCCTAAATTTAATTGCTCCATGATTGGGTGTACTCTTAGCTATCTTGGCCTTAA